GTCCATCCATCAATCAGTTAGTTCATCAAGCAATCAATCAACGGTGCAACGTGCCAAGTCTATCGCACTAATTTCATCAATTCAAACTGCAGGTGCAAGGCACATATTCGGTTCTATGCCACTCTGTCGATTCTGTTGCTCTAAGAGTAAATGGGAGACGTTATACATATGTGCATACATATGTGCGAGTATATACTATGATGGTCCCTTTTCCACTTTAAGTTTTATTCATTGAAATACCTATTTAAAACCATTTGGGCACGTTCTCCATGCAACGTATTGATATTCAGATTGTATTGTTTGGCCATTTTAAAATACAATGACTGAGCTCGAAAACTGTAAACTTATTCGCTCGTCCCCATCACGTATCGGTGTATTCCATTATTGCGTTTACCCCTTCTCTCCATTCAATCTAGAAACTCAGATTCGATAGGGATCCATCGCCACGATGTCTGCCACGAATCTGTCAATTTTAATGCAGTTTTTTGTTTGCTAAATGATCTATGTCCCACCTCGGATTGAAGCTCACAGCCCTTTCGACCATCTCCTTGCTGTTCGCGTCCCTGTCCCTGTATCCGTCCCTGTCCTTGCCCACATTCCATTCCCTTCAACCATCCATCTGGAGTGGCAATGGCTGAATGGCATTTTAAGCCTGGCCAAATGTCAATTTCGTTTTAGTCCGCCTTGGGGCCTGCATAAACTGTATCCATTCCGCCGATTTCACTGATTTGTGGTTCGGCATAGAAAGGGCTTTGGAAGTGGAAATGGAAATTATGGAAAAAAGCCAAAATTGGATAATTCTGGCCGAAATGTACATATGTAAAATTATAGCGATAGTTGGGCTCGTTTTGGTTTTGTAGCCACAAACCCATTGGAGGGTACCATTGGTGGGCTACCGCTGGTGGAGCTCCTGGTGTCTGTGTGTGTGTGTCTGACGTAATTTGATTTTAATAATGAAAGAGGAGGCGACCGACAAGAGTTCGTTTGCCTGTTTGCGGTTAATCAACTGTCCATCGCATAAATATTTTGATTGCCATGAAATGCCACTGGCCAAAACCAGCGTCAGGTTAGAGCCATTATGCCTTTGACAGGCATGTCCCCGTAGTATGCCCCAAAATGGGAAGAGCCACCATTTGCCGCAAAAATGACAATTAAAAATAATTTGAAATGCAGACACCCCAAAGCGCCAGGAGCCAGCCAGAGGCTGGAGGCGCCCAGAGCCCATCAGAATCATAGACATGGACAGGACCACAGATGAGGATGGAGCTCGAGAGCAGCAGCACCAGAAGCAGCGCATTTCATTAAAATTTCAAGTCGACTCAACTTTCGAGCCCACAGGAGGACAGCACTTGACAACAAGAGCCACAAGCACCACCACCACCACCACCACCACCACCAGATCCAGAGCCAGCTACAGCACCATCACCAGCAACACCATGTCCTTCACTTACCTACCATACCCCAGGCGTCTCCTCCACACACCACTCTATTCCACTCCACTCCACTCCACTCCACTCCAATCCGCTTCACTCTATTCCCGTCCACGCCCGAAGCCTCAACGAAAGCGCCATTTAAAATTAGTAAAAAGTTAAAGCCACAGCTGAACGAGAAGACAACATGAGCTGCCCTGCAATTAAATGGAAGCAGGCCGGGTTGAAGACTCCCGTGTGAAGCGAATTGTGGGTGCGCTCTCCCAAAACTCACCGAATTACAACTAAATTGAACAGAACACAAGTCTTTCTATTAATATGTCTACATACATATTAAATAAAAAATAGCGGTTTTGGAAAATGAACACCCAACCCCCAAACTTTTATCGCAAAAGAGCCATGAATGGGAAATATAGCCTTTTTGATTAAACATTAGTGGATCTGTAGATCTCTATAGAGAGTATCGCAGAGCATCGCTATAAATACGCTCAAGTATTAAATATGACTTACCGAATATCAGTTTAAAATAAAATCTTTCATCTCCCCATAGATGGCAAATGCAGCAATTTCAGAACGTGTTCCAAATTCGAATCGCTAATCTAAGACAAATATCTACAGGGTAGCTCTCCATGCTGCCTGTAGATGATTGTAGCCGTTTTCCTCAGTTGAAATTCAAAACCTCCTGCCAAAAGCTGGGTCTGGGTGCCCACATCGCAGGCTCTGGACCGTCCAATCCTGTCTCGCCATCTCCAAAGCCGTTCCTCCATTCACATCGTAGTCATAGGGATACTTTGGCGGTTGTATACTCCGCAGTGCCCAGTGCCCTCTGCCCACTGCCCAGCAGGGGTGTTTGTGTTCTGGTCTGCGTGGAGGCTTGTTCGCCTTTATCGCTGCCAGCAAATCGATTGGGTATCGATGCGGAGGGGCAGGGAAACCGGAAAGAGATAGGAGCTGCCTGGGTAAGACTGTACAACATGAAATATTTCAAATTTCTACAAAAAGCCACTCCCCCCAAGAGAAAACGCATTCGCTTTACTTTTCTTTTGTGTGTATTTTCCTTTTTTTGGTTGCAATTTTTCTTAATATTGAATTTCATTTATATCGGTTTATTGCATCTATGGGTAGCATGCATGCTCTCTCGGTTAGTTGCCTTACATACTTAGTTGCCAGCTGTCATTTACCGTTTTACTTAGTTGCCAGCTGCCATTTACCGTTAGCTATTTGTTCAAGGAGCGTTCCCTTGCCTTGCATTCGATCCGATCCGATTAGATCCGTTTTACTTAATTTATTTTCCTTCGTTTGGTTTAGTTTCGATCCTTTTGGCCTTTCAGCTGGTTTCTTGTTCTTGTTCTTGTTCTTCTTCTTCTTCTTGTCGTTTTCTATCTGCTTAAACACACATATCAGTTTAAGTTAGGTTTTAATAATAACTTAAGGTTAAATAACAATCACATTTATTTATTTTTTTTTGTTTTTTCGACCAAAAAAAAATTCTGCCCTGTCCTAACGTTTATATTTGATTTACGAGTAGGTAATCTTATTCATTTATAATATTCATAATATTTTTCTCATTGGCATTCTCTCACATCTTCTTCTTTTCATATATTTGTAATCTTTTTGTAATATATTTTTTTTTTATTTTGTAATTGTCAATAAAACAATTTGAACAAACTTAAACAACGAAAGTGGTTAATCTTTAGTCAGGGATTATGTTCCACCTAAAAAGTGCCATCCGAATGGGATCTGGTCTACTGTATCGGATCCGCTGCATTCGGGGCACACATGCATATTCTCGTATAATTCTCACTACTTACAAAGTACGTTCCACTTGCAGTGCACGGCTCTTGTTTCATTCTCCCGTTCCAGCTCGGATACGAGTAGATGTCTCCGCTTGGTATATACCATATTTTTAAGAAGTTGAGTTTCTATAGTTTATAATTCATCCATAGTACACTCGTAAATGTATATACTAAAGTTTATAGGTGTTTATATTATTTATATTGGGCAAATAGTATATTGAAAAGTTTCTCCTTTTACTACGATAATTTACCAATTGCTTAGGTCTATGTCGGTAGCCATTTAATTTGCATTAGCTGCGAGTCGAAGTCCTCTTTTACACACCCACACACGGACTAAAAAATATACATACACATACATATTTTGACTATACGTACATATTTCTAAGACTAACTTGGCTTTTCTTGTGTTGTTTGTTAAAAGGTTACATACATGAGTATTCCGCCGCAATCACCGGATCGGATGGGCATTGTATAAATGGTTCGTTTCTCTTTGTAAATTGTGTCGGTTGGCCACAAAAGTTCGGCACATTTGATTTCTATCAAGTGGATTGAGATGGGAAACGCAAAAAAAAACCTTATATCTAAATAGCCATAGTCGCGATATACGACTATTCTAGAGTGCTCTGTGCCTAGCCGTTTTAGACACAGTGTCCAACTCATAATCGATATTATTTTGGAATACTGCAAAAGCGTTGGAATCGAATTCATCTAGCATGCCTTTCTACCAATACACTGATCACCATTATAGCCCTTGACATTCGTGATTCAATTGGTTCAGATTCCGGGAAATATTCCGGGAGTTTTGGGGAAACCGTCTAGTAGGCTGCTTTACGAGTTCTTACGAGGAACCCTCTCTAAGGAATATTCGCTGAAATTCGTAGATTGAAATTGTTCTTCTTGTTAGAAACGAGTCCAATTTCAGCACATGGCTCAATTCAAGACTAAAGATTTAACCATTTGCAAAGCATGAAAGGCATTGGCAATGTACTTTCTACTGATAGGCTATGGTACTTCCATAGCGAATTAAAGAGATCTAGCTCTTGGGAAATCTGAGTCCACTTGGAAATGTCAAGAGAGCCCAATTGAAACCAATTCATTATAAGAGCTATTGCTCAGACTAGGCTACCTAACGGATTTTTTAACCGCAAGCTTACACAACGCTGAGCCTACGTCAATCCAGGAACATGAACGAACATTAACAATGAACAGATTAAAATAGAGGAAAATTAAAAGCCCTACTCTATTGAAACTTCTGACCAAACTGATCCCTCTCTTAGTTGTTGGCCCGACACAGAGCACCTTTTGAAGTATGGCAATAGACATACAAATCGAAACTAATTCTGCTACAATTGTGTTTCCCTCATTACTATTTGGCATTTCTGTGTGTAAATGATTAAAACTAATTAATTATGCATTATTACATACATACATACGAGTACGAGTACGAGTATCTGTAATTATTCTGTTTCGTTTCGTGCTGTTTTGCTTTGCATATTTATTAGATTCATGCCTTATCGGTTTCCATTTGCATCTGCCTGTTTTCATTGCATTTTCCGCCACGTTTTTATCGTTTGCTTATATCATAGATCGAATGGATACTTCTGTTAATGTTATATTTTTCTCTCTTTAGCTATGGTAAGGATAAACATTTAAGTACGCGTTAGCCCTTCCCCTCCCCCCAAAAGGTGAGAAGAGTGGGCTTGGTGTGTGTTTTTGGGGTTGGGGTCGGGGGCGGGGGAGGGAGAGGGAGAGGGTGGCTCGGACCAGCCACAAAAAGACAAACAATTAATTATGATTTATTTATATTATTCGCGTGTAATTGTTATTCGTAATATTTGAAAATCAACAAACTTTAAAGTGGAAACTTTCTATTATTTTTTTTGTTTTCTTGTATATTTTAATTTAAATATTTCACTTTCCCCACTTGGAGTTCGGTTTCACTTTGTTTTTTCTTTGCCACCGTTTGGGATATTATCTTAAGTATTTCTAGTATTCCTTACACCCTAGAGGGAACTATTCGCGCTTTGAGATCTCTACGAGGTCCGATGCAAAAAAAACGCTCCTCCCTTCTTCTGTTGCTGCTTCTCTCTCACAGGATCTTCGGGAATCATCTCTTCTATCTCTGATCTTACCTGGCCTTTCTTAACTGCCGTTCACATCGACCACAGCCAGGGTATGGAGGCCATTGGTGAGGCCGTTGGAGCCATAGATTACGCCCGTGGTCGGTGACTGTGGCGACGGTGGTGAAGCGGGCGGCGTTAGGGTGGCCGGCTCCTCTGGACCACTATTGTCGGAGGAGACCTTAACCATCCCGTTCCCGTTCCCGTTGCTGATGATAGCCTGGGACTTAAATGCTGTCCCATCTTTCTCCTTCTCAGCTTCTTTCTTTGGCTTTCCATTGGTGGTGTCGGCTTCGGCTAGAGGCGGTGGTGGCGGTGGGGGCAAAGAGTCCAGTTGGTTCGACTCGATGAGAGAGAAATCGTTCAGCTCTTTGATCTCCTCGGTGGATGGTGGGGCCGGCAGACTCATGAGACTGTCGTAAGTGTTCTCGGGTTCGAGATCCATTTCGGCTACGATTTCCGGTTCCTGTTCCGGCTTGGCTTCTTCATTTAGCTCAAACTGGGTCTCCGACGGTTTCTCCGGCTCTGGTTTAGTCTTCATCTCTGGATCCGGTTTGCCCTGCATCTCCAATTCGGGTATTTTCCCAGGACTTAACTTGATCTCCGAATCTATCTTAGACTCTGTTGTTAGCTCCGGGTCTGTCTTCTGCTCTGGATCTGTCGCTTTCTCTGGTTGATTTTGCTCATTCGTTTGCTGCTCCTCACTGTCGTTCTTAGTCTCAGGCTTTTGGGTATCCAAAACTACAGTCGGGTCATTCTGCTCCCCTCCGATGGGGCCTTGGTCATCCTCGACGTGCTCCTTTGGCTTGATAGATGGCAATATTGGCTGGGCTGTGGGTGAACTGGTGGCATATCCAGACTGTTCGATGACATATAGCTCCTGGTTGCCGTAGGAGTAACGCTTGTTGGAATCGGTCGATGAGGTGGAACTGAGATCGGACTGGGAGAGTCCAGTTTGGGCGATAGCGATAGCCCCCTCTTGGTGTGGCCTGGCAGCATCCTCCAACATCTGCTCCTCCGCCTCTTCGATGAGATGGAGGACCCCGACTCCAACAGTGGGATTGGATGGGGCTGGGATAGGATTGGCGAAATCGCTGGGTGGGGCATGGATCTGGACCTGCTCGTGGCTAGGCGGAAGGGTCTGCTCGTCCACTATTTGCAGACCGTTGGCCTGCTGAAGTTTGGTGTCGAAGGGCAGGTCGGTTGTCTCGGGAACGGCGCCGGGGATGTCAGCCGCCTGCTTGGAGTCGATGCCGCGCGCCACTTCTACCACAAAAACTCCGTCCTTGTCCGTGTGCATCTTCGTCTCTCGCGCGTTCCTCGAGATGTCCTGCGAACGATAGTGGGGATTGAATGGGTGGTGAAATGAAAGATGGTGAGCTGGATACCAAAAGCAAGTGCATTAACAACATGCAGTCAGCTACAACAACAACGAGGAAGAGATATGGTGGCGAGAAGCGGTGGGAAACACTGGGAGGTGGAAGACAGAGAGTGAGAGAGAGAGAGCGACATAGGTCGGTGAGGTGACAGAGCAGACAAATCGGGTGGCTGCCATGCGGAAAGTGTCGAAAATTGCATTTGCATACGCTTGTGGCATGCTCACAGACACCTTACCAACCACTCAAGGAAACAAGAATACCATAACATCGATTCACACACAGATACTCGTAGATGGATATTTTTGGGGTCCTGGGTTTTGGAGCCTCCCGTGACAAAGGGACGACACTTGCCTGGTGTTTCGGAATCAAAGCTGTCCGGCGTATGACGGCCCGCAGGTCCCCACGATGAGCTGGTACACACGGCCAGGCCAACCCCAGGACTTTGATGGCAAGGACAAACCAGGTTAGATGGAATAAAGAGTACAAGAACACCACATATTTAGGGATAGATATGATTGCTAAACAGGGAAACAGGATAACACTGATCAATTTAAGATTACTGAAGGTCAGGGCTTACAGCAACCAGAATGAACCAAACAGGAGGAGACAGGACAGGAGAACAGCAAGTATTCAAGGAATACTAAATGAGAAGAATATAAATACGTTAAAGAAGGAAAGCGTGACACACGGATTTAAAGATACTCTGAAGAAGGAATAAATATGAACCGAAATAGAGACAAACGGAAAATGGAAAGAACGCCGAAAGATTCCGAAACGAAGGGAGAAGAGGGAAAGACATCCAAGACCTTGTTGAAGGTAAAAGATTAAATATTAAATTAAAAGAAATTGGAACAGACAGGCAGAGATAGGGAAGAGCAACTCACACACAACACGGAAGGAAGAGCAGGCAGGAAGGCAATACGCATCGACACACAGCAAACAAAGTATATCGACGAGAGAGCGAGACAACCAGAGTGTATTTGGAAAAGAGACAGCAACACTTAGACACTTAACAGGAGAATGAAACGAACAAACAACACACACAACAACGACAACCAAAACAATTACAAAGTGCAGACAATACACACGAAAGCATACAATATGGACAAAGAGAAAGAGAAAGAGAAAGAAATAGAAAGAGAGTATTGCTAGCTAATGGCGCTATCGGAACTGGAGCTTCGTTGTGATCAATCAATGGTTGAAAAGCGGATATAGACCTGCACTCGGGGTTTCCCTTGATAACTATTTGCAGTTCTACGTACAAGCTAATGACCAATATACTAGCTATAAGTCCACCTCATCCGAATCGATGGTGTTACATTTATACTATATGTCTACTATATTACCTGAGTACCCTACCCCAACCGATACTCTATCTTCCTTATCCATACTCTTGTGCGATACCCGCTTTTATCGATGTTGAAGTGCGATAACAGCGAGGTAGACGCCAACGCTCTCTCTGTGATTAAAGAAAAAAGTTATATAAGAGTGTTAAGAAAGTTGTTTAATCCGCTCCACATATAATACTTTGGTCCACTAACTTCCGTATAACTAAGTTCGTCTCGCAGAAGTGCATCCGATGAATATCTTATATACCATATACCAAATCGAACTCTAATCTCGATCTTATAAGAGCTTAATGTAAAATATCTGTATGAAATGAACTAATTAAATCCCATTCACATAAAATACTCTTCTTCATGTATTCTATTTTGTACTCCACTCCAGTCCACACAAGACACCATAAACTACTCCAGCTCTTTCATAACTGTGTGCTATCTGTCAATCCTAGACAAGGAAAAGCACAGTGACAGAACAACGACAACATCTACAACATAGACTGTGAGAAACAGAGACGGCACGCTTGACAGCTGATCAGCGGCTAACGAACTGAACGGACTTACGTGTCGCTCTTCGGTGACAACAATGAGATGATTATCTTTGAGCGTCATCTTGGTGACGGAGCCACTGGGAGCAATGACATTACTCCAGTCACCACCTTCATCGCTGCCCATCGTTCCCCAGATCTCTGGCATCTCAAATCGAAACTCGAGGTTCTCTAGACCAGAGCCCAGCTGATGGCCCAGACTGGACTTCTCACTGTTCGATGGCCTGGGATACGAACAGGAGGATGTGGTGGCGGTGTTGGATATGGATGCGAAGGCGGATGCGGAGCCAGACGATGCTGAAGATGTGGCAGAGAGTGTTGACTGCAAAAGGCGAAGGCAAGGCACGCTCTCAGTACGGAAGGGTATATGTATACCCATGTACATATGTAAGTACATACGTATTGCAATGACGATATACAAGAATTTCGTAGCCTCCTCTATTTACAGAGTTTATCAAAGAACGTTATTAAAAGTTTTCACCTAATATTGAAACTAATTGAAACATTCCACATATATGATCGCTTTTTAGCCCTATGAATATCAACGATGATATATGCATGTTCTCAATAGTTATATCGATATAGACGCATGATTTCTTGATATTATTTGCCATTCAAATACATATGTACATACATCTGAATAGACCAAAGTGAAATGCATACACCTGCTCTCTGCACCTGCTCCTTCACAATTATAAACATACATATGGCGCTTTCTCTATCGCACACATAGGAGAGTACGAGTACACACAGAAAACCCTCTCCCCACACAAGCATCAAGTGAAGACGTTTTATTTAATTTCGGGATCAGTTTCAGGATTGAGAGCCAGCCCACCATTAACTGCAGTTTAAGTTTTAATTTCGCTGGGCTCCGCTTCGGTTTCAGCGGGAGGAGCCATAAAATAACTAGCGGAAATTTCTGCCATTGTTTAATTTTGTTGAGAGTTTTTGAAAAGTGCAAGGCTGGGACAGTGGCTGGGACCGTGGCTGGGACTGTGGCTGGGACTGGTGGAGGGACCGGGGCTATGAGAGCGGCAGTGCATCCATGGGAGCTTGGGACTGGACTAAGTTTAAGGCACTCGCTGATGGCATTTGCTTTAAAATTTCAACTTTCAGCTCCCGAAAGAGACGTGCGGATAGGAAGGGGCACAGGGGCACAGCTCATTCAACTTTCCTCTCGATGAAAGACTTACCTCATTCTTGGAGTCCTTGCCCTGCTCGCTGTCATCGCTACGGGCGCCGCACAGCCCCTTTCCGGCGGGTTTGTTCAGCATATAACTGCAAGGAAGAAAGAGCGAGAGACAGTCAGTGTGTGGGTGAGTGAGATGGATTGAGTGTGAGGTGGCGCGCGGGGGCGGAGGCGCGAAAGCTGTTAAGCAGCTATCAGCTTTCCCGCAGATTTTTGGCCAGACTTTCTAAAATCCAATGCATTTATAATGATGCCGCGACTCGAATTAACATTTTGTTGCCTACTTTGCGGCGGCGCCTGCAATTACCCAAGCAATACACACAATATATGAATACCCTTACTAAAAGAAAGGCATGCAAGATGCGGAAGGCGGAAGGCCCCCCCTAATGGAAAGTGGAAAATGCATTATTAAATGAATCGCATCCATTCCCATTCCGTTTCCCACGTTATTTTCTGTATTCGTTAATCAGAAAAAAGTTTCAAAGAAACATGAATCGGTTGAAGTATTTCCGATGAATTTGTGGTAATTGAATTTCTACATTCTACACAGGACAAAGTTATCGTTTTCAAAATGGAACTGTGTTCTGTTACCCAAGAGACTCTCTGTGATTTCTAGTCCCTGCCCTACTCCCTCATAAAAAGTTATAAGTTTTTAAATAAAATGTTTATAGAGAGAGAGAGCCACCCCTCTTTGATTTCCCATTCGATTCCATTTAATTATTATTAAATTCTGTCTTTAAATAATAATATTCGTAGAGTACTCGCCATTGTACCTCCCATCGCCGTTGCCTGGCTGCCGCGTAATGCTATTGCCACTCAACGAACTTCAAGTTGCCACACGCACAACTAATTTCTCGTCTCGAGAGTTTATTGTGCAATTTCCTACCACACACACACACACACACACACACACTTACACATGCACGCGAAGTATTCTGCCCGCCGTGTCCTGCTCAACAAGAAAGAAATAAGGGAAATAAATTGTGTATTTCCTTTTTATTTAGACTGTGGCTTTTCGTCGCTGGCACCTTTTTTGAGGGATGGGCGTGGTGTAAGGTCATTGACGGTTGGGTGGCGGTTGGCGGATAACAAACTGGCAACGTTTGCGGCTACCATTTGCCGTTTTATACGTTTTTCGTGTGGCTTCAGGGGATGGGAATCAGGAGCAGGAGTAGAAGCTGAGGCTGAGGCTGAGGCTGAAGCACCTCTCTCAAACAGCCTGCCTTGTTAGCTCCTGGCTTCTACATCATCTGTGGATGTGTCTGCTTCAAGTGTGTTTTCGTGTGCGTGCGGCGACTTCCGCTTCCGGCCTTGCCGATTCCGCCGCGTTGATTTGTTGCTCCTTCATTTTTGGGGATGCGCTTACTGACTCGACTCGACTCGACTCCCTCTCTAATCCTAAACTCCCTCAGTTATTCCCATTCTTGCTGCTCCCATTTTGCCTCGCATTTAGTGCCCAGCATGTTTATATGTACATACATACATATATATTTTCCGTCCTCATCCACATCCACAGAAGTAGCTTCTTTCAAACCAATTCGCATTTAGGTGGTGTGCTCAAGATTTATACGAGTATGTATGTGGATACTGAAGGGCACCGGCACCGGCACCGGCACCATGAAGAAGGCTGCGGGTGATAAAGGATGTGCGTTCCTGGCATTGCGTCAGTCACTCTCCTACTCAGCCCTTGCCCCCAGAAGTGCCATCCAACGCCACCATCCCCAGTCGCCGTCACAGATTTGTCAATGTTTTGTTGCTGCCCTCGCCTTCTGCTGTCTGTCGCTGGCAATGCGAGAAATAAAATGCCATGGGTGAAGCTGATAAATGCGATTTGCCACGCCTTTGCTGCAGCATACGGCACCGGGTGGTTTGTGTGGTTGGGCGGTTACCTTAAGGGTTAGGACTGGGGTCAGGTGGCGGCAAATTGCTTTAAATTGAGTGCATTCTCTTGGCCTCAGAAGTAGGCAACAAATTTGAGCAAAAACTCCGTCGGAACAGAATCCTTTCAACCGAACAGGAAAGAAGATGGATGGGGGTTAAGGAATTTCTCAAGGCTAAGACCCACACCACACCCGTCTAAGCTGGCTCTCGTTGCCTCTGGCATTTTATGGTGGATTTGGCTGAGCTTTTCATACGCTCCCTGGTGCCTGTTCCCTGCTCTCTGGCACTTTGACGGCAATTCCTTGCAATTATTTTTGATTTGTGGACGACATCGCTGTCTAAGCTGATTAGACGCCACACAATTAGCCCCAGACCAGGAAAGGCCAGCCGAGCACAAGAGCACAAGTGGCAAGTACAGTCGGACCCAGGAATGATAGTCGTCTGTTCGATGATAGTTTCTGCAAGCCAAATTACTGCTAAGTCCTCTTCATTCAAAAAACACAATGCTAAAATTTGCATTTTTAATTTCTTCCAATAATAAATCAAATTTAAGAACAAATTAAAATGAAAATACACAATTTATGACACTATTCATTTTAATTACTCAACAAATCAGATTCCATTCAAACAACAGCCACGATTTAAATATAAATTTTAATTACTATTAAAACAGACCAGTAAATAAACTAAAGGCCGTACTGAAACATTCTAGTCAAGTTTTTGGCTTCCAATACATACATACATACTAGGGTGGAAGCCCCCTGCACACTCGCTTCGCTCGCTCGCGCCGATATGAGTAAAATATCTGATGGCGACCCACAACTTTTTGTATGTATATATATCCATACAAGCAAATTTACTGGTCAGAGCAATTGTAAATATCAAAACTTTAGGGGAATTCTCTTTTTGCAATAGAAATGTGTTAGTTTTTTTTGAACTATCAATTTTTGTTTTTTGCCAACGTTCCCTAATTTGTTCGCTAATGTCAATATGTTTTAGAGACAAGGAACCAATCACCTATTTTTGCATACGACGAATGTCTGTTTAAAAACCGAATTAGGTGTACTCGTAATATAGATGTACAGGAATCAAATGTGGAATCAACTATAGTCCCAAATGCTTACCGAATGGCACAGTACATGGAGATCAGCAGGGCCGAGGGTAGAATGACAATGACGAGGCCCATGGAGACGGCAAAAAGATTGAGATAACCTGCCATTCAAGAAAAAATAAACAAATCCAAATGTTAGATGATCTTCTATACTTAGAGTCCCTCTCCCCAAGGGGTACTCACCGTCAAAGTCGTCCAAATGGTCCTCGGACAGGGCTGTGACATTGCTCATCGCCTGCCCACTGCCAGCGCCGCTAGAGAGGAGAGGGGCCATGGCCGAGACGGACCCAGACCCAGCCTCTCCCCCAACCGAAACGTTCTCGTTGTGCTGCAGCAGAGTGGCGTTTACAAGCTCCGCCATGGGGGGTTGCTCTCGGTGCAGATGACTCACAGCCGAATGGCGGGGCTGATGATCCTGTCCGCGACCCGGGTGGTCACCATCCTGTAACTGGCGATGGGATGGGCTCTCGAAGGGATAGGAACCCTCAACGCCGTCGAAGCCGCCGCCTGCCCCATCATCGATGAGATCTCCTCCATACTGGATCGAGCTCTCAATCACATCCGGATCACTGTCGACGCCTATGCCCATGCCGATGCTGTTGCTCTGGATGTCATTCTCGTAAATGCCCATCCCACCCAACTCTCCGGGCATATAGTCGATCTCCTTTAGTTCGATCTGTGGTGGCAGCTCCCCGATCACGGGCACTCCAATGGCCAGATCAGGCAGCACGGCCGGCTGAATGATGATGTCTGACTGGGGTGAGCTGCCGCTGCCTCCTCCCAAGGGTGCCTGGGTGGTGCTTGCACTCTGCGGCTGCTGCTCTACTTCGATAACTGACTCTCCCACGTAGGTGACATCCAGAGGTGGAGCTCCATCGCCGCTGCTCGGACCCGTACTGCGGAAGATTTTCAAAGCATCGGCTGTGTTGTGCACAGGCGAGAGAATAATGTCCTCCTCGTATCGAGGCGTGGCTAGGGAGGATCGCTGCTGTTGCAGTTGCTGTTGCTCCATCACGTAGCTGGCCGGGAAGAACTGGTTCTCTAGCTGGAACTTGCGCTGCTGCTGGAGCTGATCACTTCCAGGACTGCCCGTGGGCAGGGATTCGCCCACCTTCACCTCCGTGTTGGAAATGTAGAAGATCGTGTCAGAGTCGCGATCGATGCTGGGCTTCCGTGGGGGCGGTGGGGGGGGCGGAGGTGGTGGTCGAGGCACGCCTTCACCTTCTTTGAGGTCTGCCATAAAGAGCTCATCCGCATCCTGGAGCTGGGGCGGACGCACCGCAGGAGGGGGATTGGCTGCCGTATCCGAGCGGAAGGTGAATATCGGATTAATGTGCTCGCCACTCGACGAGCTCTCTGTGCTGCTGTTGTCCCCGTTGCCGCTATCGATGATCTCCACCACGAGAATCTCGTCGCTGGGCTTGCTCGACTTCAGCTGCGGCTGCGGCTGGCGGTAAGAAAACTCCAGATCCTCGCTCTCACTGCCAAAGGCCTCGGACACGTTGATGTGGATCTCAATGGCCGCCGGCTCGGGTTTACCCAGAAGCGATCCACCCGAGGCGGGCTGAGTGGAGACATCGGCGCGGTCGATCACATATTGGGTGAACCGCTCCTGGGGCGGTCCCACTGGTGGTCGAGGTGGTCCGGTGGTGCCCGACTCCGCCTCCACTGGCAGCGGATAGTAGCCCTCGTTGTCGCGGAAGTTGGTCGATGCCACAATGGAGTCCACCGTGGAGTCATACACCTCTATCTGTATGTCTGAGATCTTAGACTCTGTGCGCGGTGGCGCCGGGCCGGAAAGCTCTAGGCCACCGCTCATGGGCATGGGTAAGCGAGTGGTGCTGGTCTGTATCTCAGGCACCTGGAAGACCGTGGTAGACAGCACCGAAATCGACGATATAGAAGCTGGATCGAGTGTGGGTGTGGCTGTTTCTGTAGTGCTGCTGGGGCCAATGTTGGCTGGCTCCGTATTCTTCTCGAGCAATGACGTCGGCGCCAGGATCTCCACAATACGTCCGTCGCGCAGCTGGGACTCGATTGAGGCAACGTGCTGGTGGTTGGGTGGATGTGGTTTCTTCAGCGGATGCACCACACTAAACGTTTTCTCACCCATGAAAATCGGACCCAAGTACCCATTGTGCACGGGCACCAGGACTGGCTCATGTCCCGTTCCGGAACTGGAATCATCACCGGAGCTGGAGATGGGAGTTGGTGGTTGCGGGGCGGTGATGCTGCTCGCACTACTGCTGGTGGTGGTTGGGATCCTTTCCATTTCCGATTCAATTGCGGTTGTTGCCGTTGTCGTTGTTATGGTGGTTCTGGTGGTTCTGGTGGCTCTGGTGGATTTGCTTGCTCTGGTCTTGCTTTCCACGGTGGGTGAAGTGGTTGCGGTGGCTGGTGTGGGGAAATGCTGCTGCTGCAGCTGCTTCTTTCTGGTCAGCTTGAGGCCGTCGTGTCCACTGTTCATGGGTGGGGCCTCTGTGTGCTCCAAGTCCATCAACTGCACCACCGCCGGTGGCTGCGGCAAGTGGTCATCGCTGTCTATTTTTGTTGTTGGTGTTTTTCCAGTCGTTGCATTGCCCATAAGTGTGATCTTGGTGGTTCTGCTGCTGGCGGTGCCAGTCTCGCTGGGAAAAACGGCTGGAGGTTTTATGTTTGTCTTTGGCACTTTTTTGTCCAACTCTAATCTTCCCGTGACGTCTGGCAGCTCGGTGGGAGTGCTCTCAGGTGTGCTGCTGCTGCTGCTGCTGCTACTGCCTTCCTTCGGTGTTGCGTTGGCGGTGGTTGCCTTCACAACCAGGGCGGGCATGTCGCCTTGCACCCCAACCCGCAAGTGGGGCTGCTCCACCGCTACCTCCGATGTGGGCGCTGCTCTGCTACTGAGTGCAGCTGTGGCCAGCAGGAGGAGCACCCACAAGGTGCTTCCCTGGCTGCCACGCCCTCTGCTGCCGCCCAATGCAGATGGCATGCTGCTGCGGTTGCCGCGAACGATTCTGCTGCGGTTGCTGCTGTTGTTGGCGTCTCTTGATTGCGTTTTCGGGAGGCTTGAGGAGGCTCGCTTCTCACGCTACTCGTACACTGCTTACCCTGCTTCTTCTCCTGCACTCTACTGCTTGTTCTCTGTCTTGTTTTTGTCTTGTTTTGTTATGTAAATTTAGTTTTGAGTTTTCTGCGCTCGTGAAAATCTGTTGGCTGTTCTTGGCTGGTTTTGCCTTTGGCACTTAATTTTCCCTTTTGCACTGCTTGCTGTAGCTGCTGCTGCTGCTGCTGTTGTTCTTGCTGTTGCTGGCACTTGGCATTGTGTTGTGGCTCTTGAGGCTGACTGGCATCATCATCTTCTTCAGCATCTTCTCCGCCATCAGTGAGCAGTGAGCAGTGAGCGTGCGCGTGCCCCTCCCGAAAGCGTTGCTGCAGCTGTTGCTGGTTTCCCCTCTCGATTGCTCAGTCGCCGCTGCAGCGCCGCGACTCCGTCGGTTGAACAGTTGCTGGTGGTGCTGCTGCTGCCACTTCTGCCCGGGGTCAGCGCCGGCCTCGTTGTCTTTTTTGGCTCACAAATATGTTGTTGTAAAGAAACAGAGAAACCTTCCTTCTTTCGGGGCTCTCCTTCTTTCTCCTCCTGTTTCCCTTTCGCTTTTGGCACTTAATGGAAGGCGAATGTCGACGGCGCAGTCTCTGCTTCTTATGTCCCTTTTCTTGTGGATCTGATCTGCTTCGCGCTTGGCTTTTTCTGCCTTGTCTCTCGCTGTCTCTTGTTCAGCTTCTGCCGGAGTTCCGCCCTAGGGTGAAACCGAGATTTAAAAAAACGGCTCCAAACAAGCTCCAAACCACACAAAGTTTTATAAAAACGATACAAAAACCACAACAGAAAGCTAGCTTCGGAGTCCGAAGTAGACCTGGAAAATATCGATATTTGAGACATTCGATACTATCGATAGTATTGTTTTTATTCAACATTTTATTTCCATGTATTAAATGAACTAAAAACGATTGATGTGAATACATCGCTTAAATAATTACGATAAAGAAATAGAATACAATCAACAAAAACAAAAACATTTCTGTAAAATACACTTAAATATCACTTAATATCAAAAGTCACTTAAATATAAGGTTTTTTGGATATCCGAAGTTCACTTATAAATGACTTATTTATTTGGCGATCCATATGTTTTTGCTTGGGAATGTCAGCACTTCGACATTATTTGGTTCCAATGATGCTTTTCGATCGCTGAACAATCGCTCCGACTTAGTCGAATGGTCTGAGCTGCATAAAATCCGTTGTGCTCACCATTTGAATGTTGAATCTGTTGCAACTCGCTAAAATATATATAAATAAAAGTTGCATAACTATCCACTTGTCTTATATAAAATATATGTATAAATATAAATACTTACCTTGTAAAATTCGAAAGGATTTGCTTCTTGCGGAGAATGTGCCGCTTACATATGTATGTAGAGAATCGACCCGATCTATTTTACCCCTATCGAACTCTGAAGACCCCTCAAAACTCAGTTTTTTTGCAGCTACATAGGGATAAAGTAGTCCGATCTTGATGGCTCTCCCCTCTATACAGCGTGAACCACAAATAGGGGTCTGTAACAAATCAGTTGTCAGTTTAAAACTGCGAAACAGGCAGACGGTCATTGCTCTTTTCTCAGCGTTTCGGCCTAGTACATATCTGTGTACATCATGTTTTGAGAGCTGGCTGTCTCTGGTTTCGCAGTCAGTCAACTAGCAAAGTCTAATGTCATAAGGCTATTAGTATCGCGCAGTCATAAATATTATAGGATCAGGACCTGTCGCAATTTCTTCGCAATTTAGGTCGAATTACAATCGATATGTCAGCTATCGATACAAGCCAAAAGCAACGCATCACGCATCATGAAAATGAAATGAAATCATGAAAATCTGATGCATGATGCACGGCAAAGCATGTAAAGCTCTGTTGTATTTTTACGACACTAAAGACAAGGGTCAAATAGGTCGAAAATGAAACAGAGTCGGAGATACTTCCATTGTGCATTGCATAAATATCTGATCCAACTCATAATACCATCTCCAAGAGCTTACGAGTATAACATAAAAAAAAGAGAAAAATTTTAACTTTTTTCTGCAGCGCTGCTTGACGCGTAATTTAATAAGGAGAGTTGAATAGGAAAACAAAACAGAAGAGCAGAAAAACACAGAACATAAAGTAACAACAGACGAATTCAGAATAAATCATTTGAAATGGTGGATTACAAAATAAGCATAGAAAATGGGAAACAAAAATAATAAGAAGAAAAAACACGCCGAAAAGGTAATTCGCCGAGAATTCTTTTTCAATGAAACTACCCCGAACAAAGGACGGCTATCCTTGCAGGAACAAGTTTCAGCTTTTCTCCCCTGACTAGAAGACAGCTCCCACAACTGAAAAAGTGAGTGTCCGACTAAAATAACTAAAAGTAGAACAAATACTGACGTGCACGTCTCCAGACAGGACAATGATTTAACCTTAGATGGACGTGTTCCATTTCTTTCCTTTCTCAGAGACCAATAACAGCTCGCATTGGAAAAATATGGATAGGATGTCCATGGTTTAGCTTGCACACTTGATTTGTGGATGCCATCCACGCGATAAGAATACTCCATTACCCGCTCTTTTTGCCAGAAATTACCGTGGCTACCGTGGTCCGGCTGTCTTTCATTGTATATTTCCCTCGACGCTGCTGGAGGCTGGAAGGCTGACGTTCCTCTCGGGACTCCTCGCAGCTAGCCAATAATTTAATGATATGTTTTTGATAAAAGTGTCGTACTGTTAAGGCTGCTGGCCAGTCGGACAAATGGATCCTTTTAGCCTTCCTCAGGACCCCATCGCCCCCTCCAACTTCCTTGGCCCGTAAAGTATGCAACGCTTGCCGACGGCATTCCTCTGGACAGCTGGACGGCTCGTCATCCTTTGAACCACATTGTAGGTTGCGGCCAGGCCATGCAAATTAAATTTAAAGCCTACAAAATGATTCGATTTCACAGCCCCGAACCGGAGCCCGAACCGGAGCCCGAACCTGACCCTAAACCCCAAGCCAAGGAAAAGGTTGGCAAAGAAAAATTGGGGAAAACCGCAAGCAGGCGCAGGCACAGGCACAAAGGCTTTCCATTCTCTCATCATCACGGTCATCGTCGACATCAACATCAACGGCAACATAACAACTTGCTTATCACTCACTCTGCCCAAGACCCAACCGCACAATCCGCACCCCCACCACACCGCTTCCATTCCTAGGCCCCTTCTTCTGAGCCAACTATTGAAAACTGAACATCAAAGGGAAGCAGTGAGAGGATAGGGGAAAATATATGTATAAAAGGAAAAAAAGCCCAAACAATAATAAAGATTATGATAATATGGGACATACGTAATGATACGATAAAGAATTGATATATATGCACATATATACCAACATATGTGTGTAGGCATCTATATAACTAAGCCATATATAAGGAAACGAAAACCTCTGTCGTTATCCCTTCCTTTGGTATTCCCGTTAAAATTACTCCGTCCTTGTAAGATTTCACGGTATAAATTAATCTTAATATACATATGCCCATATGTACATACATACCTACATATGTACATCGTTAAATGGGCTTAAAGGTTCTGAAAACATGACGGAATCTTGTTGCACGAATCTATACACAGACGGACTGACATTTTGGAACCGCAACTGTTCTCGCTAGAGAGCGGCAATCATTTTTGCAGGTAAATCAGTTGGCCTCCCCGCGTACCTCGGCACTCGCATACATTAATCTCTCTTTAATATATATCCCCTTTTAATAGCACATAAATTATATAGTACACTTTATATGGCGGACAAAATGGCCGTTGTCCCAATCTATTTATCCTTGAAATGAAATATCAAAAACATATCTATTGTGTGCCACTTACCGGCGGCGAGCTCGCTGGCTGATTCCGCTTGCCCCGCAAGGTAATCCAAGGGTCCTTGCAGAGCTCAAGAGCCCCCTCACCTTCCCGTTTTTTCACCTTCTCACAGGCTTTAATTTTCTTATTCTTGATGGAGCACTTTTTCAACACGCGTCTCTATCTCGCACAAAAGATTGTTTTCAATTGTTTCTCACACGCCACACTGCAAAAAACTGGGCAAAAAAACAATCAGCGACACCGCGAACAAAAAAATACTAAAAGAAGCCGAGCCCAAATCGCGGACATGGAGCATAACGGTAATTGTTGTGATGCGGCAACAATAACAGGAGCAACGGCCACGCCAAAAAGAGAAGGACAGCAGAGCCCCAAGTCGTGGCAAGGCAAACACTCTGCGAGGGCGACAGAAGTCGCGCGAGAAACGCGCCAAATTTAAGCAAATTAATCCTCAGATGGGGCTCGTTCTGCTATTGTCGTAGGCCTGCCTTGCCCCACCTCCGGGCGTGTTACAGGATAAGATGTGAGAAGGAGATGGACTGACCACAACTCCTTTGCTATTCTTTATCGCGCTGCCTCTTCGGTTGCTTTTTCTGCTCCTGCTGCTGTTGCTACCGCTGCTGCGTCCTTTAGCTCCGAAAACCGCACGAAAACTGCGCAAAAATCATAGCATCCTTTGTCTAAAAGGACTCACGAACCTCACGACGAACTCAACTCGACGAGCATTCAAAATTTGCGCGCTCTTTTCCGAACAAGAATTTGTATGGCATGTACCGTATACAAACGCGGGAATGTTGCGCATGTTGCTTGCACGCCATCGGCCTGCAGGGTGTATTGGCACAACGAGGTGGGGTAGTATTAACAAAATGTACTATGGTCTGAATGTCGATTTTTTATGACATAATTTCTATTTCAGCATGGTCTTCGATTTCAATACTTATTTTTAATGTAATAGCATACAAGTTTAGGGACGAAATTTGGCACGGTATGCTAAATATATTTTCAATACAATTTTTTTTGTTATACATATATTGTATTTTTCTTGGGGCACTACCTTGTAACAAATTTAAATGTGCTCCGTGGTGAATTCCTTCTTAGTAAGCCCCAAAACCTATCAGAATAC